GTTCTAGTTAGACTCCAAATGAAGGGATCAAATATCAAATGATTTGGACAGAAATAGATATTGTCATTCTTCTCTGGCTCCAATAGTTGGTTTGTCTTTATCATATTGATTGTGAGTATTGAAAAATAATATATAGTATCAACTATCAAGTAATTATAATCTTTCACACGATAGAAGATAAAGTTGTATAAAATGTCCAACCAATAAACCAACACATTGGTGACATCTCTTAATGGAAAAGGATTTTTTGGTGAGGTCCACCGAAAACGAATATCATCAATCAACAAGAAAATATTATATATATTCTTAGCTTTGGATTTTTTTTTTTTTTTACATCTGATTCATCACGTAAGAAAACGTTTATACAAACTCAATTGAGCAAATGTTGAATACACAGAGAAGGAGAATTATGAATATACAAAAGGTATATTGAGATTGTCTTGTATGCGTATGCTATTTTGTTTGCCATTCTCCCAATTTTTTTTTTATTACTATGTGCAAATATTTTACTAATCAAGTGATTGAAGGATTAACGATGTCTTCAGCATAGTTCAAACACTTTATTATGGTTTCAATCCTCTTTGGCCATCCATAGACGTCTATAATGGAAAAAAAAACTCACATTTTTGTGGTCATCGAAAGATTTACTTGGGCCTTGGGTTGGGTTACTGGTGTGGTTCTGGGTGTATTGACCGCATCTTATGGTGTGATAACTTATTTTTTGGTTTTTTTGTGTTCCGGGTTCAAACTCTCTTTGGTACGGAGAGTTATTACTTATATTGCAATATTCAAAGACTGTCTGCGGATACCGAGGAGATTATGAGTCAAAAGTTCATAACTCTCATGTTTATAAAAAAAAGTTATTCTTTACCTTAGGATCAAATTGGTTATTGGACAGTCAAAATTGTAATAGATGTACATGCCGCTATTCCGGTAATAGGATCCCCTCTTATAGTATAGATCAATGACATTATAAATCACTTAATTACATATTCTTATCATTTTGTATTTGCTTTTCTCCTCTCAATAATTTAGGTGTGTAGGGGCCGATTAATGGCTTTTCAATAAAAGAAAATGGTGGCCATTAGGTGTTTGTAATGTTAATTG